GTGTGTGTTTGGTAGGGATTTTTTGGGGGAAGAATTGATTTTGAATAGTGATATGATGAGAAATGTGTGGTTGAAAAAGAAGATAAGATTATTGATGTGATAGAAAATATTATTTTATTGAAAAATGTGTGGTTGAAAATGAGAATTGATTTACGGTTGAAAATGAGAATTTGTACCAAACATAGCCTATATATTCTTTCGTATGGAACTTCGACCTATCTTTTGTAACATGCATTTTCATTCGTGTCGCAACTAACTTGGTGAGCTACATGTCCATTCTCTTTGATGTTAAAATTGAAAATATAAATTATTAAATTCAATTTGGGTCTGAATAAAGATAATTCTTGGCACGAGCACTAACCAAAGGATTTATGCTTTCTTTTTTTTTTTTTTTAAATCACGAAGAAGTGTACATAATTTTTTTTTTTTGGGTAAGTCTAACATGAATAATGCTAAAACCAATTGTCTACCTAGTATTTCATTTCATTCGGTAGGTATGCATATAGAGATAATTCCAGTACTTGAGCATATTCTTGAATGTCAATTTTGACAGAAGACTTGATGTACATCACGTTTTGCTTGGCGTACAATCAATATGCTTACCAAATTTATTCCAAAAATAGTATTGCAGAAGCCAATCGTGTTACAATCATAATCATTGCAAATGTTGGCACTTGACTTTAATCACACGATAAGTATAAGTAATTAAATCATTGGAGGAAATATCTTTCATTTATACTCTCTATGAAAACTTGGATTATCAAAAAACAGTTCAAAAATCATTTTCTTTAAACATACCAAAACTGGAAAGCAAACACTTCCATTCAATGGAGGGAGTGGGGAATTTCTATTACCTTTTTTTCTTTAAAAAAAAATATTATTGTATATTTTGTATAAGATTTTTTTTTTTAGCAGTTAAAGTAGTTCACTACTGGATTCGAGTCTGGCTTCGTCGCTATTTCCATTCTCACTGTATATATCAAGAGTAGCCAGCAATATTTGTATCGACTTTTTATCTGATGAACAATTGGACATAAATAAAATGATGTGAATCGATTGGATGATTGGGCATGCCAGAAAATTGAGAGCCAGACACTTTTGGCCTATACACTTTTTCTTATTAATTAGTTAATTAACATCGATTGAAAACCTTTGTGTTGCACTGGTTGTCTCCTAATGATGTTCAGACCATTAACATGGCTTGCTTGCCCTTCAATACCCACCACAATAATTTGCAATTATTTATGTTTCCAATAATTAATTATTTTATTCAATCCTATATAATTTTTATATACGTATATCAACTGGATTACAGTTTGATACCGAGACTACTTTATTTACTTTTTTTTTTTTCCATATATATATATATATAGTCTTGGATTCCTCGTCTAATGCCATGCACTATATGTTACTTAGCTCTCGTTTCATAGGGATTAAATTAGAACTTTAGTAGA